AAATAAAAGCAATTTGATAAAGCTCAAAATCGTTGTTAAATGGCAGTGCTTCTCGCGGCATTGTTTACATCACTAATTAGCTGCATTTATCAAACGACAAGCACGATACAAAAACCAAGACAGATCTCTTAGTATTATCCAAAAATTTGTCATATCATCCTAAATGGCAATTCGCAATGGGTTCAACAAACACACTAAACTCACTCCAAGCAACATATAAAACAGAAACAAAAAGGAGACTACAAAATTATCCCTTCTTGTCTACCATTCTTCTCTTTGTCGTGACTGATTAACCACAAGGCAAGTTCCACATCTGATAAAACAAAAAACAAAAAAAATTCAGCTTGACCAGATTCTCAAGTTTTGTGTTTGGGGGCCATGTTTCTGTCAAAAATATTTATTTGGTGGGCTAAAATGACTTTGAAAAGAGTCATTGCCAGATTGGAAGATACAAAGGGAGTAGCTTCTAAGCATCAGTTTGCAGCCAGAACCAACAACCAAAATATTTTCCTATAACCGCCAACTCACACAAAACAATTGTTTTGCAGGATATGGGGTTGTTCTTAACTCGTTTTGCACACGCCTAAGTACATTTGTTAGTTATTGCGTCACGATTCACAAATCCTTTCACCGTCCACGAATCTCACACCACAGCCAGAGCACAATAGCACATCAAAACGCATGGCGCTAGAGTTGCCTGTCCTTACGCTTTTGCTAGGAAAATATTCTAAGTTCTCCAATTTTTTAGCTTATGACTGGAAAGGATACTGTATGTAGATATTTATTTACATTAGATAAAAAGATTGATCAGAAGAAATACCGAGTAAAATTCTCATTTTATGTTAGATTTTGCATATTAAAATTAAATCCATCTTATTCTGTCATATGCAGGCTATTCATTTTGATTTCTAAAAACCACAAAAACAATAAATCAATGGCCTTGTTTTTATTTAAACGAGAGAAACATGCTGGAAAGCCAAAAAAAATGCAACATATTAAAAAAAGTTTAATGACATAATTTACTTTCAAACTATTAGAATTGTGGCAAAATAAGATCTACATCATCAATTTAGACTATTTAAACCTTAAACTATTAATTTTATCTTTTCTTTTTTAAGCATTTTATTTTTTGTCATTAAAATTATTTTTTGAAAAAAAATAATGATTTGGGTTTTTTTTTCTAGATGGATCGATTGTATCTCATTAATTATCTAATAAAATAAAAACAACAAAATCATCTAAACTTTTTTAAAGGTGACAATTATTAAATATTTTTTTCTAAATTAATTTTAATTCTTAAAAAAATGAAATATTTAAAATGATGTCAATTTATCATTTTAATTAAGAATCACAATTTTAATCGTCGGATATAATAAAAAATAATAAAATTTACTAAACATTAATAATTTGAGATTCAAATATCTTAAATTAATAATATATGTCTTATTTTATTATAGCTTCAATAGTTTGATGGTAAAATTAATCCTTTAAACGCATTAACAAAACACTTGGAATTGGGAACAAAAAGCGTGCGTCCTTTTTATTTAAATGTGAGGAACACGTTAGAAAGCCAAAAAAGAAAAAGGCTTCCCTGGTCACCAGAAGTAAGATAGAAACTGTTCGTGAATGAAGCATTAATTAACTAGAGGTAAAAAGAAGTTTGTGAGAAAATGGTTTAATTGCAAAAATTGCTCCAATTGTTTTGGTAATTTTGGATCTTTATTATTAATTTACGTTAAGTAGATTTTTTTTTTGCCAAATGAATTTTTACCTGTTATATTTAACAATCAATCCCTTAACCGTTAACATTCCTTTTTTTTTCAATTAAGTTGGTCAAAATATAATCTATAAAAGATTACATTGTAGTTATTTGTTATATTTTAATATTAATAACACTTAAAAAAATATATATTAAAAGTACTAATTCAAATAGAAGAAATAAAAATACATATATTTAAATAAAATAATAAAAATCCAAACACTTGATTAGAAATAAACAAAATATTTATACTCACATGTCAATTTCATGGTTATGTAAACATAAATTTAATAAAAAAAAATTGATTAGAAAAATATTGAAAACGTATGTATTAACTAGATTATCGTTTAATTTAAATTTTCAAATTTTTTTCTAATCAAATATTTTTATTGTTAAATTCATGAAGAAATAAATATTAAATTGACACATTAGCATGATGACCTATCCCTTATATGCAAATAAATATTTTATTTTATTTTATTTTAATCAAGTGTTTGTATTTTTATATTTTATCGAAATACATGTGCTTTTATTTGATCTATTTCATTATCTATATTTTCAAAAAAAATAAAATTATGATTGTTATTAATTTTAAAAATCTAACGAATAGCTACTATGTAATTTTATGTAAATATATTTTGACTAAATTAACTAAAACTTAAAAATAAATAAATAAATAAGAATGTTAACGGCAACAAATTGACCATTAATGGTCAATTTTTTTACACGAGTAAGGATAATAATAATAATAATAATAATAATTTACTGTCCAATTGACTCAAATTGGTAGTTAAAGTTTAAATTTATCAAAATCTAGTAGTTTAGGAGCAATTTTTGCCATTAAACTGTGATGAAAAAAAAAACAAGTACTCTTCACGTATATATGTACTAGTATACGCATCATAACTATATAATGTATTCCTCCTATATAAATTAAGTTCAAATACTTATATTCGAAGTTTTTTTTTTTTTTTTTTGATAGAAATATTCAAGATTGATCTTGCATTAATTTTTGCATGTGCTCATATATATTCCTGCATTTGTTTTTTTGGGCTTTATGAACTTGTCATGCAATAGGCAGCCGGCTTATTTAATCTCCAATCTCTAATTAAATTTGTTGAAAATATCATACCGCGGTCGTTTGTCTTAAAATGCAAGAAGCCGACTTGCATGATGAAGAACAATTCTCCTCTTTTTGGGAAAACGACTCTGCTTTTTAATACTGCATTATAACTATGCCCCAGCTTTATGTGATCAGCTTCATTAATAGTACGCTCTTTTATTACTTTCGATTAGCACACACATGTTTTTTTCAAACTTTAAATTATGTAAATCTCTAATACCTTTTTTCAAATGTACGTAATTCCGTAGTTCCAACTTACATAGTTTTGTCTTCCTTCAAAATAGAAAGTATACTAAAACTCGAATAACAGGTTATTTTTTATAATTAGGTGCTCTTGAGCGATGCTAAAATACACATCTGACGTAGAAAAAAAAAGAAATCAGGTAATCCAAATAAAATAAGAATTGAAAACTTGTCTACATGCCAAAAAACAAAACAAATAATATATACACATAATCACATATATATACACTAAATTCATTAATAAGTCTCATATTAAACTCATGATTCACAATTTTCTTGCAATCTATTCTTGTTTAACTTTTTTCTTGTTACATTAAAAACACTTTCTAGACTGAAAAAAGAGAGAGAAAAAACTTTCACGCTTTGTTGTTCATGGCATCATAAAAATGACTGATATTTTAGGAATGCTCATTACCCTATATGCCATCTGCTTGAGTTGAACTAGATATTATTGATTTACAATCATGTAAAAATTTAAAATCGATGTAGTATAGACAGCACTGGACTTACTTCTATGACAGTGCTAGTAAAAAAAAAACAAAAAGGATAATTATACAATAAATATATCAACTTTTAATTTTTTTTTCATTTGAATACATCAATTTTTTCTAAATTAAATATCAAATAATTCTTTTAATTTTTTTGTTAATTGATAACCTATCTAATACCTCAAAATACCAAAAATATAATTTTACCCTTTTTCTCAATCAAGTATATAAATTTTAATTTTTTTCGTTTGAGTATATTAATTTTTTCAAAACTATCAATCAAGTATTTTCATCACTTTTTCGTTAATTGATGATGTATTCGAATATTAAATTATAATTTTATCCTTTTTTTTTTTTGTTGAAAGAAACTTTCTCCTTAGATTATTTTACTATTTTATAATTTGATAAATAATTAAAAAATTATTTTTTATTTCTAAAATTTCAAATTAAACTCAATTAGGTTGCTGTTGAAAAAAAACTCAATTAGGTTTAAAACTAAAAATTAAAAAAAATATATAAATGAATCTTCTCAATGAAAATCTAACGTTTGTATTGTTTTAATTTTCACGTCCATAACCTAATTGACTTTTTCTTAACAGCAAGTCTTACTAAATTTAGTTTGAAATTTTATAACTAAAAATATTTATTTTTAATTTTTTATCAAATTTTAAAATGATAGAATAATTTAAGAATGAAGTTTCTTATAACAAAAGATGAAACAAAATATAATTTGGTATTCAGACATGACATCAAGTAATGAAGAAACTGAAAAAAGTACTTGATTAATAATTTTAAAAAAATTAAAAATATGCATTTTATTGAGAAAAAAGAAAAAAATATAATTTGGTATTTTGAGGATAATAGACACATCATCGATTAACGAAAAAATTAAGCGAAGTATTTGGTTGACAGTTTTTTAAAAAATTAATGTACTCAAAAGAAAAAATAAAATTTATAAACTTGATTGAAAAAAAAAAAAGGTTGAAAATTAATATATTTGTATTGTAATTATCTGATGAAAAAAAAAAAAAAAAAAAACCTCGCCCGTCTCTCACTCGGAAACCAACCACTAACTCGCAAAGCCCACGTAACATCTAAGTGGGAAAGAAGTAGCTGACCCACGTTACCACGTTAGTAATTAACACAGTCATGACTCACATATATAATTAGACTCAGAAACACGGATTACAGTTTCCTATGCTTTACAACGGTTAAATCCTCAACAAACAAAACAAAACAAAAATTCTTTCCCTGCTCGATTTCTGATTTCTTTCGACTTTCTTTCAGCAGCAACTTCCTTCCAAGCCACTTCTCTATTTAACTCCACCACATATATAAACAATCCGTTACTCGCAAAATTTTTGTCTATCTATAACACCTAGAGATAATGGCAAGTGGGGATCTAGAGAGAGGGACAAAGAACAGAAGAAATAACACAAATTTCTCTTCATACTATGTTGAAACAGCAGAGAAGCAATGGACTTCTTGGCTAATTCCCATGTTTGTTGTTGCAAATATTGCTGTATTTATTGTTGTCATGTATGTCAACGACTGTCCTAAAAAAATTCTGGGTTCTGAAGGTAGTTGTGTGGCTAAGTTCCTTGGCAGGTTCTCTTTTCAGCCGTTGAAGGAGAACCCTCTATTTGGCCCATCATCTGCTACGTAAGTTATTTTTTCCTTTGCTTAATTTGTTCAGATTTATGAACTTTCTTGGTGTTTTCATGTCGGTTTGGATTTGTTTCTTGGTTGGGGTCTTATGTGGGTTTGTGAGATTTTGGAATTTTGTAGTTCTTATTTGTCAATTATGGATTGTGACTTTGAGAGATTGGGTAGTAGTTTCTTATGATTTAATTGTAGATAGTCTCTTGCTTTTGCCTATTAATTCGTTCTGATTTTGGTACTTTTGATACATGTTACCAGTGTTAATTAAGACATTGGCTTAATTGCGTTCGTGGCAATATATAGCGCTGGTTATAAGAAGTGTTTGATGAAAAGTTCTTTTCTTTTAATCTTGCTTTTATTAGGAATCTTCTTTTCCACTTTATGTACTATGAAATTTGTTCTTGCGATTATGTATTAAGGCAGTGTGAACGTATAGCGCTGGTTATAAGAAGTATTTGATGAAAAGTTTATTTTTTTCTTTTAATCTTGCTTTTATTAGGAATATTCTTTTCCACTTTATGTACTGTGAAATTTGTTATTGCGATTATGTATTAAGGCAGTGTGAAAATTTAAGTTTTTTGGACTTGGTATGAGCTGAATTTATCCACCTTACGGTTCTGGAAGAAGATTAGACTTTTTTGTATTTTCTCCCCTTTTAGAGTTGCTTATAGATCAAAGACTACGAGATTAAATTTTAATCTGTAATTCATAGAGACATACTCTACGAATGCTTATGATCTCTTTAGTGCTGTAGATTGGTGTCTTGATGGGTTGGATTGAGGGGTGTGATGACATAAATTGTATTCGATGTTAAGAGGTTCTTACTTGAGCTGCAACAGAAATTCCTGAACATTACAATTGTTGGAATTTGTTGTCGCAATTTGTTCAAATTGATGTGCCTTTACTGCTTGTCACATAGCATCTGTAAGCAACCTTCTAATTCAGTTGTCAGAGAGGAGAATTTTGATGGTTAATCTTAATGTACTAATGATTATGCAGATTGGAAAAAATGGGAGCTCTGGAGTGGAACAAAGTAGTGCATGGAGATCAAGGATGGAGACTTATCACTTGTATGTGGTTGCATGCTGGGGTTATTCATGTGCTTGCAAATATGTTGAGCTTGGTCTTTATTGGGATTCGCCTTGAACAGCAGTTTGGATTTGGTATGTCATGTTCTTTTCTTTTGGCAGAACTTGTTGATTATGTTCCTGCATCACAGGTTAAGGTTAAAATCAACATGCTTGCAGTTGCATCTTTTTCAAAGATACATACATACATATGTGTGTGTGTGCACTCAGCGGCTACAAAACTCAGACTGGAAATACCTTGTGCCTTGGATTTATTATTGTTCTCACATTTTAAGCACAACATCAAGTTTTTATTCCAGTCAGCTATATGGTTTTTACCGTTTGATCATAAAATTCATGCATCCTAACATGTATTTTGGATTATAATCTGGCAGTGCGAGTTGGGCTTATCTACCTAGTGTCAGGATTTGGTGGGAGCATCTTGTCGGCGCTTTTTATTCAGCAAAACATTTCTGTTGGTGCATCTGGTGCTTTGTTTGGACTTCTTGGAGCAATGTTATCGGAGCTTCTTACTAACTGGACAATCTATTCTAATAAGGTATGCTGTTAACTGTTGATTTCTTTTGCATACATATGAAGGTTCTCTGTGTACTAATCATCTAAAGATAGAGCTTGTGTTTTATGGACAGCAAAAACTTGACCAGGGAAACAAGCACACACTCCCTTTTATTTCTGTTTTTTTAAAACGTTTATACATACTCTCAGCTTTCCCTATGCACTGTGCATTCTTTAAATTGCTAGTTTAGGTTTTCAGATTTCGTGATTGTTTCATAATATATATAGATGCTTGTCTGCTACTTATTCCCGGAACTAAGACCAATGAGACCAGGACATTTTTTTTGTGATTGCTTGTCAGATTGTGGTGTGGTACCGTGGTTGCTTCTATTTTTTAAAAAAAAAACTTGCTCTAAATCATTTACATCTCACAACTTTTTTGTTCTTGTAGATTGCTGCACTACTCACACTCATGGTCATCATTGCCATTAACTTAGCCGTGGGAATTCTTCCACATGTTGACAACTTCGCACACATTGGAGGTTTCTTGACTGGTTTTCTACTTGGCTTTGTTTTGCTACTTCGTCCACAGTTTGGGTGGGCAGAAAGCCGACAATTTCCTGCCGATGGTCGTGTAAAATCTAAGCACAAGGCTTACCAATATGCGCTCTTACTGGCTGCCATAGTCTTGCTTATTGTTGGGTAAGTTTAAAACCTTAATTTTCCGTTTTCCCGAATGAAGCAGTTGGCTACATTGATTTAGTGCTCTCTTGGCCTCCCCAAACACCAGCAACTTATCTTCATGAAACCAAGTTTTTGGTGTGCGTGTGTGTGTTCTTTCTAAAAGCAAGTTTTGTTCAGATGAGCGAGTGCAAAAACTTGTTTCTAATTCCTGTTTCCATTATGTACATTGCAGATTTACTTTGGGATTGGTAATGCTGTTTAAAGGAGAGAATGGGAATGAGCACTGCAATTGGTGCCATTACCTAAGCTGTGTGCCTACTTCAAAATGGAACTGCCAGAACTGATGAAGATTTTTCCAACTTTTCTTCTGTTTGATAATTTTCTTAATTCTTTTTATCCCTTTGTTTGTATTCATTTTCATTTGTTCATTTGTTTGTTATGCTTTCACATGTGTACATGTAAGTAAGTGACTCTGGGATTGACTTTGGACATCAAAAGAGTAATATAATGCTTTCCCATAATATATAATGATAAACCATCCTCATAAAGAGAGTAATATAATGCGTGTAACATTTTAAAATCTTGTTAACTTATTGTTGATCAGGTGGCTGGCATGCTTGCACTGAGGGAATTTAAGATTAGTCAGAAACCACAAAGTGACTTGATTAATGTACTTGATTAATGAGCTATCAGAAGTGCCTAAGGTTTGCTTAAAAAAGAATGATTGACATTTGGGTTGTGAGATTGACATGATAGCAGTTGTGCACCAAAACACCAACCTATGTTAGTTGAAGGATTACAAGTCATTTAGCTACCCTGCCCAAACATTCAACAATGTTCGAATTTGAAGGGTAGATTCCATTCAGTAATGAGAGTTTTTTTTTATTATTATTATTATTATTTAGAGAAAACGAGTAGGAAAAAGAAAAGGTGATTACAATACAAAAATTGTATTCTCCAGGGGAAAGAAAAAAAGGGATAAACGTTGCTTAAAATCAAGGCAGATGAAAAGATAGTTTACCAAGATAGACCAGTACCTAACGAGTTAGTGTGGGAAATATTGAAGAAGTCAAATGAGCAGAAAGAGTTGTAACTCAGAATCTATTAGCTTAGGGAGCACGAACTAGCAATTCCTTGCCTATGTAATATTCAGCATTGACTAACAAAATGCTAACCATTTTTTAATCCTTTTTTTTTATTGCAGACCAAATCCAAACTCTATCACAATTGTTCCAAATCATGTCCCAACATTAGCTGCCTTCTAACAGGTTGAACTAATTAACAAGCTGACTTACAACTTGTCGGTCAATCTTAAAATAATGAATTTAGTATCCAAATTACAGGTTTGGTGAGTGTTGACATTACTGGTAACCAAACTATTATGATGAAAGACACCTTCCTTTGTTTCTTGTATGAGATAAAGGATCCTTGCAAACTAACAAATACTAGCTAGCAACATCGTTAGGCATTCAATATATATATTGAACTGCAGACATTTTAACTGTTGTATGATGAGTGTGAGTCTTGTGTTTTAAGCGAAACTAGTTTATTGTTGGCACTACGTTATTAATTAGACAGAGCATGTTAAATTATTTTAATTTGATAATTCACAATAAATTATGGATTTACTAAAATATATTGAATCAAATGTTAAAAAAAAAATCATCTAATTTTATAATTTTTCTATCAAACTTTTGTATTTAATTAATTATTTCATATTTTTTTCTATAAATTTTCTACTTAAAAAACATGACGTGTTCTTTCTTATGCGTTATTTCTTAAATAAAAACTTGCAATAATCCAAATAAAAAAATTTTAAAATGCCTTAATATTTTTTTCATAATATTTTATGAACAATAAAACAATAATTAATGTAAAAACTTATATAAAAATGAGCAAATAAAAAAAGAATAAAAATTATTTTTATTTATTTGTCGGTGAGAAGATTACTTTTTGAAAGTAACTATATTTGATTCATATATATTTATTCACAAAATAATCTATAATATTAGCATAAAAACTTATATGTGAATCATTTGATGACTTTTTAAACATTATTTTAATTATTTTATTTGAAAAAACTAATAATAGCAAATGATTGGTATCATGTGTGTAGATGCATAGTTAATTTTTAATAAAATCAATTATTCTATTTTTATTATTATTATTATTATTGATGGGTTCAGAGTGTGTAATATAAAACAAAAAATATTTTAAAAATAATTAAAGTGTAAGGAATTATTAAATAAATTTGAAGTTAATAAACTAAAATAAAAACTACTACAAGATTAATTTTGATAAATTTTGATTATATAAAGGAGAAAATAAAATATGTAAATTTTATTTTTAATTTATTATTTTAAAGTTTATTTATTTCAAAAAAAAAAAAAGTACGGCTAATTATATGAGACAAACTCTCATATTTAAAATCTAAGATAAACAATTTAAATATGAGATCGATGATCAAAATAGCCAGAATCAAGCCTAGTCGTGGCTCTCTCTCTCGTTGTTTCTTCCTACTTTTTGCATTCAGGGACAGTGTATCATATTGTATAATATTTGTAAAACCCAATGCTCAAGGACGGAGTTAAGTCTTGGTGAATCTAAATCTATAGCAAATATGAAGAAAAGGAGAATTACAAAAAGGATAAAAGATAGAAAAAGAAGAAAATCATCAAAAGGTGAAAATTAATAGCACAAACACACTAAGTAGCATGAGATAAATTAGATATAAAATAGAAGGGTGATTGTTAAGAAAGAAAAAAGGGATTACAAAAAAGAAGGATAGAGAAGATATAAATTAAACATAAAAGAGAAGGGTAAGAAATAGTGTTTATGAGTCTTAATGTACAGTGTTTAGTTAATTAGTTTTAGTTTTTTCTTTTTATTAATAATTAGTTAATTTCTTTGGTTTAGAAAACCCAATAATGGATTTTTTTTTCCTTCCTATTATCTCTTTATAACTCATCTTTCCATTGCAGTTTAATCTCTACTCAAAAATTCTAATCTCACCTATTACAAACAGAACAGAAAAAATGTGCACATGAAAATAGAAATCTGGACATTTAAAAAAGAATTACCAGCAACTTTGTTCAAGAACTAATTTATGATTTTCAAAACTAAATTGCAAAATCATTAAAAAAAAAAAAAAAAAAAAGCCATGTGGCAGTTTCATAGCAAGCTGTAATCCCCAGACATCTAATAAATACAAGTCTATCACTCTATCTTCTAGAAGCGCTGATTGGTTTCCCTTGGTGTTAGTGAGTTCACGTGACGTCTGCAGAGATATGAGGAACCAAGGGCCAAATAGTTGGGCCACTTAAAAGCTTGGGGTTTAGCAAAGGAAAGAGCTGGACATTGATGGCATTGGGCTACTCAAAATTTCTGTTTGGATATAAGATGTACTAATGGATGAATCAGAACCTGCACTGCATGATGCATGTCGTGGGGCAACTCAATGTCCTTTAGAATGTAAGATGCATTGGTAACTTGCACTGATTGACCATGCGTGGCCGTACGACCGTAACCCATGTTTAGCTCTGAATTGCGACCATCACAACAACCGACATCATCTTTCCTGGTCTTTAAAACACATTCTTTCAATGCGATCTCCTAAATCCAATGTAGGCCATGGGGAGTATTTGTATAATATTATTAGCTGTTTAATTCACCAAATCGCCAGCAAGCCCCTTCAAAGGGGAAATAAATGGTCGTAAAAATGGCTGTGTACTTTGTCCTCGTGATGAATTATATATGCAAGCACGAAACATAAACTCCAGAGACCTATATAAGTTTTTTATAGTAATAAAATCACAGATGATTAGCACTCCTAGTTAAGCTTAAGTTTAAGCTTGATGCAGTGGAAGAGTTCACATACGATACCTAGAAGATATTACCATTGGGGGATTCTTACTGTCCAGTGACCAGGTACTAATTCGCCAGCAACATTAACAACTTAACATAGCTAAACTAAGACAGATCAAGTATACACCAAGTAAAGGAAGTTTGTTAGCCAGATTAAACGCTACTTCAAAAGCTAGAACCGATGAAAGTTCCTTTCAGTATCTCTGCCCTATAGGCATTCCCAGCCTGTCCAAGCGACCAGATCCAGGGTAAGCTTTGCTTGAAAAACTTGCACGCAAGGCAGAAGCACGCTGTGTACTACTCGATCTTGGTTCACCAAAGCCGAAAACTGAGTATCTCTTGGTTGAACTGGATCTCTCGTACTGGGGTCTTTGTTTTGGAGCGCTAAGAGATCTCACCTTTGCCCTTGAAGATTCAGTGTTACCCATATAATTTGGATGGCCAGAATAACCACTCAGGAAGCTTCTTGAGCCGTCACTCCTACTGGGAGTGAAGGGACTTCTCTTACCACTACCACCCCTTGATGATGCAGAGTAGAATTGTGGGCTATTATCAGCAGTGCGAAATGCCTCCTCGACTTCATGAGAGAACTTCAACGGACTTAAAGATTGAACTTCACAAGATGAGGGACTTGGAACTGTTTGATGGGCTGCTGAGTCTTTTGAAGTAGTGAAACTATGACTATATGGATCCGCAGACAAGGAAAGGTGAGAAGAGTGGAAGAGATTTCTACGTTTAGGAGTATTATGGGGTTTTCCAGTATCGATCTCAAGAATCTTGTCACTCTTATCATCATCTATAGCGCCAGTTCCCGCCAAAGAGACTTGGTGATCCCAAGTTCGATCATCCATTAGACTTTCTGACCAATTGAATGATAAGTGGTCAACATCTTTATCACCAATTGCTCTGCCTTTAGATTTTGACCCAGTTCTCTGCAAACGTCAAGGAAGGTGCCATAAGTGTACAAGGCCTGGATGATAACAGTTGCATAATCATCCATAGAGAACGAAATAACAATACCTTAAGCATTGATGAATGTTCGTATTTTCCACTCTTTGAACCAATGGCATGCTCTATTTTTTCTGGGGTTGGCGGACCCTGCGGTTAGTTTAAATATGATCATTAACCCATGATTGAGCGAACAAAGTGCATGCGCATACAAGTATAATCTAAACATCCAATTATCTGCTTTTAAGGAAAATTTTGATACACCAATAACTATTTTCTGAGCACCACAGCTACGTTTGAGGGTTGAAATTTATTATATGATATGGCTCTCACTGATTTGTTATAACCACTCTCAATAATTCCCTCCAAGCTTACATCATTCAAAAACCATAAATTAATAAAGTTGTCTAGAGCCGCTCTAAAGAAAAGTATTCCTTGAGTAAATAAAGTAATGGAATTCTCAATTCTCAAAAAATTCCAGGAAAAAGAATTCAAATATGAGAGGGAAAATTGAGCTTCGCTTACAAGGTGGTGAAAGTGAGAAGATTTGCCACTTGAATGAGAAGATTCAGAAATTTGGGCACGTCCTGCACGTGCTCGTGCCTGCGCTCGCAACAATGCTTGCATTCTTTGAAGCCACTCTGCAGTTCGCTTCCTCTCAATGTGCCCTCTTACCAGCGCTTGAAGCCTCACCAATGCTTTTAATGCTCGCAATGCTCTCCTTGCCTAAAGGATAATCCATTAAAAACAGTCAATTACAGACCAATACTTGAAGGGATAACAATCATTACCTTATACATGAATGTTTTTGCAGAAAAGGTGAATGATTTATTATGTACATTAATCAAAATCAATGAGAATCTCAAGCTGGTCACAGTTATCACACTGTTATATTCACCATAGGACCTTCAATTTGAAGGACAGCTTGAAATTATGGCGCCAAACAAACAACAGTCGCACCTACTCGAAAATTTGAAGAGAAAGAGGACAGAAGCCTTAAAGAAAGCATTGCATTTTCCATTCAAAGTCCCAAATGAAGGACCCATCTGACACTACATTATAGAAGACAATGACATCTCACCAGCCGCCTTACCCTGCGGGAAAGGATAAAAGTAATCCACGAGCCTCTGACTTTAGTAATACCATATTAAAGAAACCAACTAACCCAACTTTCATCTCCAAAAAGTCATTCATCTAGGACTTAAGGAAACATATACACTTCTTGTTATTTTGGACCCACCTTCACCTATTTGCAAGACCCAGTAACCCAAAGCATTTAGTAACATGGATTAGACTTGAACCATACTTGAAAAGGAAGAACCACAAAAAGTCCATTATTATGGATCAATGGTCCAATCAATCTAAAATTTTAAGCAAATTTAACAACCACGTTCCTCGTTAACCAAAAAACAAAAGCACCACAACACTTGATTGTTTTACCAACTATTTTTTTTCTCCTATTTTTATGGCATTAGCCTATCAGGCCCTGCAATTTTGAATATAAGACTATGGGATTAGACAGACCTATCTTTTTTTAACAGAGCATCTAGTTAATAAAGTTATCGTCATGCAGATAAAAGAACCTAGTGGTCCTAAAGTAAGCGGCTGTAACCATTAGGTAAGACAATTTTCCACATGAAACCAAAAACATTTAAGCTACGAATCAACTTAACAAACACACCGACAAAAATCATACTCCACCAAATAAGCTTCACAAAAATAATTACCTGGTTGAAGAGTTGGTGCAATATTTTTGAAGTTACACGAAGAAGTAAAGGACCCCATGAAATGGTACCACTTGACATTATTCCTCCGAAAAAAAGGAAAATTTAATTCAAAGTACAGGAACCAAATTCTTTCCATTAAATGTTGAAAATCCCAACTCAACCAAAATAGAAGCAAGTGAAAAGTTTAGGTCCACATGGACATTGGGGATGGTGCATATGACACACCCCGGTAAGGTGGTAGTGACTGCACAACTATAACAATTAATACTAGCACCATTTATAATTCAATTATAGGACTTATGAACGGAAAAAAGAAACCCTCCAGCCAAAAGGCATTTTCATTCGGACACTGACTTTTTTAAGCAAAACGACAGAACACAGCAACTCAATTGAGAATGCAATGCAAAAAGGAAAAAGAATCCTGTAAAGAGTAAAAACGAAATCGTTTTAGAAAATTTGCAGAGTAGGACATGCGCACCAAAAATCCCATCTCCCTTTAAAAAAAAAAAAAAAAAAAAAAAAAAAAAAGGGGAAAAAAAGAGTTATACAAGAGCAGAAGCTTAGACACGACATCGTATAACACAGTTAAGAAAAAAATACTATTTTTTGCTTAAAAACTAAAACCGGACTGGTTAAAAACAATTAAAATTCTTAAACAGAGTGGAATTGAAGAATAAATGTTAGAAGAAAGAAAAGGAGGAGAATCATATTACCAGGTAGCCACGAAAAGCAGCTTGAATCTTAACAGCAGCGAAGTCGTCACGCAAGCCAAGACTCCCACTAACGTACGCAACACTGTTAGTAACACTCCTCCCACTACTCGTAAGTCTCACAACCTCGGCAGCTGCCTGAGCGGCAGCAACCGCAGCCTCCGCAACTGCAGCAGTAGCAGTAGCAACAGCGATCGCATGCTTGTTGGGGTCCTCCAACTCCTGCTCGTACAAAACACCAGTTTTAATGGCTTCAGTCTCTTGATGTCGCTGTTGGTGGTGGTGGTGGTCTTTTTCACGGTGGGACTTGACAAAACTCCATCTCCGTTTCTCTTTAGAACGAGTTGTTTGTGGGTGGTCTAGTGGTGGTTCTGGTTTTTTGAGGCCAAGAACGGCACGGAACCATTTGGAAGCTTTGCCCATTCAGTGAAAGGTTTGTGTTTATGATGACTTTTGGGTGTTCGGATTTTGCATTTGCAGGGAGAGAAAGAGAGAGAGCGTGTGTTGCGAGAGGGGAGGAGAGAGAGAGAGAGAGAGAGGGGGGGGGTGGTTTAGTTGCAAGTTACTCTTGGAAGTGGAGGGAGGGATAAGACTTCAGAGAGGGAGAGAGTGAGGGTGTTCGTTGGAATTTTCACCTGGTGGTTATAATAAAATCCGGGGAGTTTTATACGATTTGGAAACTTGATGATAGAATTTAATGGGAGTGGTAGGAAGAAAGTCTATTCGCTTCGTTGCGCGTGTATCCAAACGTTGCAGCTCCTGAACAATTTTTTTATTCTTTTTAGCATGATTTTTCTTTCATGTACACTTAGAAGGTGGAGTTATATACAATTGTCATTATGACTCAAATTTTGCTATGAAAGACATAGTACCCTTTATTACTTTATAACACATTGTTTAATGGGTGCTTTAAGCTACTCACTAGCTATTTACAAATATCCTCTTAGAAATGGTATAAATATCCCGTACATTACTTCAATTTTTTACTATATTTATAAAATAAATACTTTATCTATCATCCATTAAAAAATCATTACATAAATATTTATCCACATTATATTAGTTTATCCATTCATTTAATATCAATTTAATACTAGCTAAATTTAATTTATTAAAAATATTTATTTTACTCCTTATAATTTTAAAAAAAAATGATCCTTAAAATTTAATTTTTTTCATTTTGATTATTTATTTATAAGTTTTTTTTGTCCTTAAAACTTATAAAAAAATATTTTGATCTTCAATTTTAAATTTTATGTAATTAGATCCCTAAATGTTAATGAAAAAAACTAAATAAATTAGTGGGTGTTGATGTGATAAAAAATGAGTATCCATATCTTGAAACTATATTAATAAGTATGATTTTTTTTTTTTCGTTATTCACTTTAATACATATTGAATATTCTTAATATATATTTATTGAATTCGGTAAAACGAGCATTCGTTTTATGTCCAATCGATTACCATCTCTAATCCTCTTCGCAATAAATTCTTAAATTGAATTCCAAATTTTATAACTGAAATTATGAAGATAGTTTGTGTTAAGTTATAAATTCTAACAATATGCGATTATTATTATTATTTATATAAAAAGACTCGGTCTACTCGATAAGGATAACATTCAATCTAGAGTTCATAATTAGATATAACTCTATCTATACAATTGTTGTAACAATCTCGTAGGTCCCTATATAAATAACCTCATCGTATTACGGATATAATGCAATGCAATCTCCGTAACTCTACAACTCTTTCATGGTATCAAAGCCTCAAAAGACTTAATTAGTCAATCTCCCATTTTTATTCCTCTTCCCCTATTCCTTTCCTCGCTTCACTTATCGGCATCACGTTTTAGTTTTGAAAAAGCTCTTAACCTATTTTTCCGACATGTCAAACATTGACTCATCCACTCCCCTAGCTCTAGTGAAATCGCCTCATGGTCCACCATAGCTCCAACTTTCCCAAACACAAATCAACTATCCATCAAACTTAACTCTACCAACTATCTCTTATGGTATACCTAGTTCTATCCTCTTCTTTGTGGACATAACTTAGCTCATCACATTGATGGCTCGGTTGCTCTTCCCTCTCCATATCTTACAAACCAAGATTCAAACCTAGAATACTCGGTATGGTTTTAGATGGATCAGCTTGTTCTTAGTTGGATTGCTTGCTCCCTAATAGAGTCCACACACACTCTAATAGTGGGAGTAAAGGCTAGCTTGTGATGCTTGGTAAAAGCTTACTAAAACTTATGCTTCGGTTCCACAACCTAAATCCATTAACTCAAGATCTCTTTGCATAATCTGGATCGTAAAAATGACTCCATATCCACCTACATGACATGTGCCTAGATGATATTTGATCAACTTTTTGCACAAAATCACCTTATTCGTAAAGATGATATATTTTTAGTGGCACTTGGTCCAGCTTATAGACCTTTTGTTCATAGTATTAAAGCACGTCCGTAACCTATCTCATTTGATGATTTGTATGGCCTTCTCCTTAGTGAGGAATCCTAAGCGGCCAAAGATGCGGCACCACTTTGATCCAACACCTCTTGTTGCCCATTCAGCAAAATTCTCCATAGGTAATGGGAGAGGAAGAACCCATAGACAGTTTATTCCATATAGAAGAAGCCGACCCTCAAACTTCAACAACATGGGTCATTCCATTACAAGAGGCATACTCCTCTTCCTCTAAGCTCCTTCGATTCCAACTCGGTCGTGGGCTAATTCGGTACCTCGATTGCCAGTAGCTTTGGTTATATAGCCCGTAATTGCTCCAACCCAAAAATACATCACCCCACCAATTTCAACGAGTAACTCACCAACCGCCTTAATGGCGGCTAACTCCTAACCATGGATCTTGGACTTAGGTGCAACACATCATTTAACTATTAAATTGGAAAACATCACCGTTAACTCTAAATACTCTTATCTAAAAGAAGTTCAAATAGGTAATGGTTCTAAACTCTCTATCTCCCATATCGGATCTAACTCTGTTTCTCTTGGTAATATTTTCTTTAACCTTGAATCTATATTACATGTTCCACAAGTTCACCACAATTTATTATCCGTCGCTTCATTTACCAAATCTAATAAAGTCTCTGTTGAATTTTTTCCATCTTATTTTCTTATCAAGGATATTCGGATAAAGGGAGAGCTCTACGATGGGTCCTAAATAATGATCTTTATTCTTTGTTTCATTCTTCCAAACCAAATCTGTTCATGTCAATATTGCATCATTATCAACATGGCATGCTAGACTTGGTCGTGCTTCCATTTGAACAATTAGGCATGCATTACATAATTCATCAATTTTGGTTCTTAATAACATGCCTACTAGTTTGTGTGATACATGTTGTACTAGCAAGGTTAAGAAATTGCCATTTTCCAATTATAATTTTCAAGCTCGAGGTCCATTAGATCCTATTTGCTTCGATTTATAGTGGTCCTTAACCCATTTATTCTTTCGAATAGACACGATATTATGTCATTTTCTTTTACCACTCAAGCAAATACAATCGAATTTATTTTATTCTTTTCAAATTTGAAGTTCTATGTGTGTTTATTAAATTTTAAAATCTTGTTAAAAACTTTTTTAATCATCCTATTAAAACATTTCAAGTCGACTAGGGTGGTGAATTTCAATCCTTAACTAAATATTTATGGGACAATGGCATCATCCAATGCGGTTTTTACCCCTATACATATGAACAAATGGTTATGCGGAGCGTAAGCATCGACATATTGTTGAAACTAGCATTGTCTTACTAAACCAATCATTTGTTCCACTAAGCTATTGGCCTCGAAGCATTTGACATTACGGTTTACATTATTAATCATCTTCCTACACCTCTACTAAATCACCAAATACCCTTTCAATCACTTTTTCACTAATAACTTGATTATGCATTTCTAAAAAATTTAATTGTCAACGTTACCTTTAGTTACGTTCATATGCCCCTTACAAACTTGTACTTAGATTCCAATCTTATGTTTTTTTTTTTGGATATAGCAAACTACATAAAGGATACAAATGTCTAGACATTATTACTTTAAAAATTTATATCTCATGCCATGTTTTATTCAATGAACACGTGTTCTCCTTCAAGACGATTAAAGATGTTATTGCACCTAGACCATCATCCTCTATAAGCCTACTCGATTACCACCAAGCAAACCTAACATCAATTTCCCCATTATTCCCTATTGTACCTCCTAAAACAAACCCACAAAACTCATCACCCAAACACCCCACTATCATAAATCAAGTTTAGCCTACACCCATCCAAAATCAATTTCTCCTAAACACACCCAACCAATCGGACCATCCACCTCAAACCCACTCACCAACAGATTGCTACACTACCTCTCAACCTACATCGACCTATTTCCACAACTCCGGACCCACGACCCATCGATCCAACTCATTCACATATAAATAATATCACTTAACTTAATAATCTTCATATTTCATGTCGTTCACCCTTTTCTTCTACCTCTCATCCCTCTCATCTCTGTTTTGCCTCACTCATCATCCCTTCACAAACGGACCATGTCCCCCTAAATCTTCGACCTCCTGTTACTCTTAACCCACTTACAAACCCAAATAAAACTCACTACATGACCATAAGAGCCGATCTTGGGAAACTCAAACCAAAATAACCTCTAAATCTTATTGTCCATGTCATTCCTTCATGCCCTTCTCGGGCCATTAAAGATCCCTCTTGGCGTTGTGCTATATAAGAAAAGTTCGAGCACTCGTTACGTAATGGAACTTGGAAACTCGTTCTCAAACAGAATGCCACCAATATTGTGGGTTATAAATGGGTTTTCTAAATCAAAGAGAAGTCATATAGGATTATAGATCACCTCAAAGCTTGCCTTATTGCTAAAGGCTTTCACCAATGCCTAGGTGTGGACTATGTGGATACCGCGGTTCGGTAATCAAACAACCTATAATTCGTTTGGTTCTCTCCTTAGCCGCATCCTTTGGTCGACCGATTAGGAAAGTGAACGTATCCAATGCCTTTCTATATAGAACCTTTGACAAAGATGTATACATAGAGCAAACCTTTGGGTTTTTTGACGACTTTAGACTCGACCATGTTTGCGGACTTCAAAAGTTTATTTATGATTTGAAATAAGCACTAAGAATGTGGTTCCAATGTCTCATCGATTCCCTCATCGGTATTGGTTTTATAGGTTTAAAGGCCGATTTTTCCCTTTATGTACATTACTCTAACTCCACCAAATTATATTGTCTTATTTATATTGATGACCTCATTCTCATTGGCAATGCTCCTACCTTCATTGTTGAAATAATTAACAAGCTATAAACTATGTTTGCACTAAAAAACCTTAAGCTACTTCAATATTTTCTAGGTATTGAAGTTGCTTGGAACTCATCGGGATTAT